AAGTTCAGATTCATTGATCCCATCACAATTATCTGTGACACTAGTTGGGTTGATCACAGCTTCGACAGCTAAATTTTCCATCAAATCCGCTAATACTTCGTCATCGACATACCCACCGTCATCAATGGTTTGTTTGACCATCAATGAAATCGCACGCCTTGAAGCCATTAACAATTGTAGATTCAGGTAGATCAGTCCAAACAGACGTAATCCACGAGACCACTGTAGCTCGCGATGGGGCGTGGACTTTGAACTGTGTCTTTATTGTCTTCGAGCGCCTAATTTGTTACCGCAAAAGATCAATCCAGTTGTCGCGGAGGCGGGACTTCAACGGACGATTCCACGCAACATCCGCCGGCTGGCAAATCCACGTAAGCGTTGGTGGGATCCTCGCCAACACGACGTTGATGGACGTCGCGTACGCCACAGCTTCTTCAGTCCAATGCGCTGAAAAGTCGTCCCACAGCAACAGAACTGGCTTCGTTTCACGATCTGGGAGCTCGGAAAAGTGGAACTCCAAAAACGACAACGAAATGGATCCGTTCCACCATGCCGTAGGGTTTCCGTAGACGCGGCCGTTGAACTTGGCTTCCATAGGCTCGACAGACTCCCACAGCCGTTTTCCAAAGCTTTGTCGCTCAACAAGGTTCTCCTGCACGACGGCCTTGACTTTGAACTTCGTGGTTGCGGAGGATCAAGAACAGAGGGTGCTTGGTCCTGAATTTGCTAATACCATTGCCGTGACTCGCTTCTTGGTCTTCGCACCACACTTCACCCATACAGTCTTCTCGCCAACGTCGTTGATCGTCTGGTCGGGAGGTATTCGTAGTTCATTGCGGTTTGGTGAGCATTGTACACCACGTCAACGCCGTGCTGACCCATGAAGTCCCGAACGTCGTGCTGAGGTTGGTGTAGAACGTGGACAACGTGGCAGCCATGCCGTGTGTACCGTAGTATTTAATCATGTCGAATCGCTCTTGGTAGCTACAAACAAGATTGTAGTGTTGTACCGCTTATTCTTAGGCACGTACTTGCGCACAGGGCGCCCAGTAGGTCCCGACCGAGGAGGTGCAGGAGGAACAGGCAAGTTTTAGCCATGCAGTTGAAAAATGGTTGGCTGTGTGGCAGGCTTAGTGCATTTGGCGCCAACAAGTGCATATCTCGATGAAAACCTTCGAAAGATACAATATTGGCTTATGCAGTATATATAAGATACATGAGTTCATTCAGCCGCACAAGGAAAGTCAATCAAACTCTATTTTGCACAGCAGCAAAACAATATTATTTCTGAGAGTGTCTAACTAGTAAAGAGTGTCTAACTCGTAATACGGAATACAGGTACAAACTCTTGAGTAAATTCTTACTCAAGAGTTTGTATACTCTTTCGTCGAGATTGTAGTTCGTCTTGATATACAGTACAGTACATCAGCTTTGTCAAGCTGACCGTTGTAAATGCCACCACCACCGCGCCTTCGGCGACGAATGCGTCATCCAACGAAGCCACCACCCCAGCCGCTGCTTTTGTGTCGTATCGGCCGTGAGTGGCCCTTAAGCAATGCGTCAGAGTCTTTGGTGTCAATAATCGGCTTAATGGATGTGATGATGCTTCATGTAAACCAACAATCCTTTCCTCCATCTTTTACTCGTATAAAAAGGCCAATGAAGTTGAAATTGATCGTACTCATTTTCCTATTATGTCTCCGTCGACCACCAACCTCATTTGAGACGCATTCTCAAGCGCAATATGCATCTTGCTGCTGGAGACTGCGGGAAATGGCGAACGTAGCCATCCTCGACGACATAAGCGAGGATGAATGTATGTCTAGACGAAGGAGACGAGTTTTGATGCAAGTCGACTTTGTATTCGATTCTCTACTCAAAACGTTTACGTATGGACTTCCAAATTTGGCCGCCAGTTACGATGGGCTTTGGAAAAGTATCCACTACAAACCAGAAGTAGGTCACAGTTTAAAAAGATAACGTTAACATCGAAATATAGCATCAAGTTAACATAAGTTAACATCAATGTTTACTGTCCAGAAAGTTCATGACTTTGTCCTTGAATTGCTCAGCAACCGTACGCCTTAGCGTGATGCATTTGATATGAAAACTGAAGGCATGTTTGCGTGCTACACATGTAGTGTGCAGCGATTGCACTTATTTAACATGAGTGAAGTGACCTCAAACATGCCAAAAAACTGAAATATAGATACTGTTGTGGTGGGCGACTTAACCCAAGTCCCGCTATGACACATGTGGTCCTCAACCGAGGCCACCGGGTGCCGACCCTTGGCGAACCTACACGAAAAGGCGTAGTATTACTAGTAGTACTAGGACGTAGAAAACAGAACACCTGTCCCAGCCAACTGCCAGAATCTCACTCTTGGTTCTGCAACGTCGTGCTAACATCAAGTCAATCAAGTGTGTGGTTTGCAGGGAGTCGGCACTCCCCCATTTGGTTGTTTGTGTTGGCACTGGCGTGGGAAACAACACAAAGTATACTTTAGTTCCAGTGACCAACGGAACTGAGAGCAATGGCGAAGAACTCAAAAGATCGCGCCCAGAAGCCGAAGGCCGCGGCAACGGCGCCAGCAGCTGCCAGCAGCGAAACTGAGGAGGAAATACCAGTGACGGAGCCACCGTTGGTCCCGGTAGTTGGAGGGACCACGGATGTGCTGCCGGCTGTGGAAGAGTCCAAGAGCGAAGAAGTCCGGAAGACGATGGAAGACCTGGCCAAGGTGAACAAGATCACGGGTAGCGTGCGAGCGGCGTCCATGACCTGGGATGAATCGTGGCGTTGATATGACGGACAAACCATGGGACCGAGCTGGGAACAACTACCACGACCCCCAATCGAAGGCGCCTATGTCGATGAAGACTACCCACCGTCAGAGAAGTCCGATGCCGAGAAGCGAGCGGAAGAGAAGAAGTACGTGCAGAACGACGAAATCGACCGGACAGTACTCCTGACAGTGAGGAAGAAGAAAAGGAATACTCATCTCCCCCCTAGTTTGAAACAGCTGATTGCAGTTCTAACAGTGTATGCGTTTCTGAGGTTTTTAATTATAGTAGAAACAACCCTGCAATCACTGGTCATGGATTGCGTGCTGGTGCATCTGTGTGGAGAATGCCCGTTCTGGACCAGCAGTTCGCAATCGTCGTCGACGATACAGCGTGCCAGGCATCTTTCGCCCAAGCCATGGCCTCAACAAGTGACACTTCGTAGAGCCTGTCTTGGCGACCAGCCATCACGGAGTCGATTTGCTCCAGTGCATTCTGAAGTTGCCGTTGCTTCACATTTGCCTTGAACGAGGCAATGATCCCAGCATCCTGGGGTTGGAGGTAAGCAGTTGTATTGGGCGGCAGCATCTTCAAACTGACGTTCGTGAGCAGGGTGTCCTCCTTGGCCTTGTGGGGTGACGCATTGTCGACAAGCAGTATGATGTTGCGGCTCGCAGCCTCCATTCTTGAGTCCAACTTTCGAAGGTACGTGTCAAAAATGTCTCCGTTCATCCAGGCTTTCTTGCTTGACGTGTAGTCAAACCCGAGATTAGCGGCACTGCGGCCGCGGAAGCATCTCGGCTGCATAGCACTGCCGATGAAGAGGGGCTCAACCATGTCCATTCCGTTGGCGTTGGTTGTAAGCGCCAGCGTGATTCTTTTCTTGGACTTCTTCAGTCCAGGCACGCGGCTCCGAGTGATCGATCGGTGAGGCGAAATACACCAAAATAACGACGTCTCATCCATGTTGTAGACGTCACTTGCGTTGTAGCCACGCGTTGTATCCAGGACTTGTTCGAGTCCTTGCCGTACTGCTTCGCGCGGGGTCGAACCGGCTTCACCATGCTGGCGCTTGCTGGACAGACCGTGCTTTCGTTGGAATTTGTAGAGCCATCATTTGGAGAACTTGAGGGGCCAATTCGTCACCAGTTGATATTCGTCGTAGTACGCCTTGGCTTGTTTTCGAATTAGTTCACCAGTGACGCACACGCCGAGTTCTTCGCACCGCAATACCCATGACAGGATCTTGGTCTCGAGCTCGGGCATGCACACATCTCGATCCATTGATCGTGACTTGAGATCCGCTCGCTGGCTCATGGTATCATGGCGTTTAATAGCATTTCCAACTGTAGCCTTTGCTGGTGGTGATGCCAGCTTAAATGCTTCCATCGCCCACAGTGCCAATTCGGAATATGTGGCATGGGGTTTCTTCATGTGCTCAGCGTACAAGTTGGTTTTGTCCGCCAAGGACATCCGCACCTTCATTGCCAAAACGTCCAAGTTTGAATGTTTGAAATTACCTCTGAAGAATTAATTTTATCCGATTATAAAAATTATCGAGTGTGCACCGTATTGAACTGGGGGGGAGATCAGTACCAAGAAGAACAGCGTAAGCAAGCTGAGCGGCGGCGGATCAACAAAGCCAATCGTCCCCCGAAGGAGAAGCGTGTCGACCATGCCAAAGTGGCGCGTGCGGCCCATGATCGACGGGTGCTGGACAACACCCTGCCAAGCAGTTCGGGATGGGGACCTCTTACGAGTGGACCACCGACACCAAGCAGAGGAGGATGGGGGCCCAACTTCAACTCCAGTGGACCTTCATTGGTGGTGACAGATGTCCAACCCCCTCGGATCACCTGTATGGACAGAACATTCCAGGTGAGTTGGGTGAAGTAGCGGGAGACATATGAGGACAAGCTACGGGCGAATGCGCAACGCATGGGTGGCGAGTGGCGACGGAGTGCTTTGGGGTGGATCCCTTCCACTGACCGCAGCCTCCTGAAGGCTACATGCACCTATGTTTGGCGAGTGCCTGTGGAACAACTCAGTGAGGACGACTACCGTGACCGCATCATGGAAATCGTCGGACAACCAGCGACCAAGTGGACACCCACCAAGTCAGACATGCAAAACTACTGTCGGGCGCTGAGTGTCGACCCCCCATGGAGACGTGACCAGTCGCCTGGTGTCATTTATGGAGCGGGTTGATGACGTCATCGACGAAAACGCTTACGTCAACAACGAACGTTCGTGAAGGTGGTAGCAGCGCGTGTCACACCCAGCTACCTACGCGACAGAGTCGAAGAGAAAATGAAGACCGTGCCAGCGAACGATCTGGTGGCCTTTGCGGATATCCTACGCGAACAGCTCGACCGAACGCATGACGCGGACATGGTTAATCAACAAAGAAACAGCTATGGTTCGAAGCGTGGCCGTGAAGAAGACGACCAAGGGCGCCGCATTACGAAACATGCGAAGAAGGCCAACCAAGCTGTTCTAAATCAGCGGGAATTACGAGGAAATTACCCACGTCCACCAGGTGGATACATCAAGCCGGAACGAAGTGCGGCGGTGTGGTTCCCGTCGACACAAAAGCGAACGGGGGACCCACCAGCCACAAAGTACGGACCGCAAGCGAACTCGCGCCCAAGACACGACGACCGCCATGTCCAAGCTGTGCGTGATGAAGCACGCCCTCGATTTGCACCCGGCCGGGATGACCGCGGCATGCTGTGCTTTGTCTGCCAGCAGCCAGGACATATGGCCCGGGAATGTCCCAACAAAAAAGACGGGGATAGCGGCGATACAAGCTGGAAGAAGGGCAAGAACGCCGTCAAGCGATTCAAAGCGCGGGAACGCAAAGCGAACATGCAAGCGAAGCGAATGAAGAAACCCCCACCGCCCAGCAAGGAGGATGATGGACGTTGGGTGCGACTGAACAGTGTGCTGGAAGTTCCATACTGCCCAGACACCGGCGCAGATCAAAACATTGTGCCCCAAGCCATGGTGGATGAACTTCAAGCGTTACAGCCAAAACTTCAAGTTGTCAAGTTGGCTGCGCCATTTGTGGGAACAGCATGCAATCAGATGCCGTTCGAAGTGAGCTCCTATGTGGACCTTACCCTAACGATGCAGACGGCCGCTGGACCAGTCAAGGTGCCAGGCAAGCGCCGCTGCTATGTGGTCAACGATGGAGATGAATTCCTCGTCTCGGACGACACCCTCAAGACCATTCGTATCGACATCGACCGCCTGCTGGAACAGGTGGCGCGCCTACAAGTGGATGAGGACGGCGATGACCTGGAAGAAGTTGGTGCCGATTGCGTGGAATTGCCCCAACGATCGGCCGTCAGAGCCGCGACCATGAAGGCGGCGCTACCTGTAGCCAAGAATGAAGTCGAGGAAGCCCTACAAGGGATCGACGGCGCAGTCGATAACGGATTTCCAATGGAACGTGTTAAGTACTTGTGGGATGTTCTCAGCAAGCATGACATCCGGCGAATCAAGTTCGACGGGTCAGACCCACCGGCGAAGGTGAAGCCGTTGAAGGTGACCCCGAAGGATGGGTGTGTTCCTTACCGATGCAAAGGAAGGAAGCACAACCTCCTGGAGGAGAGGTTCCTCAAGTTGTTTGCACAAGAACTAC